AAATGTAATTAGAGTATTAGTTAGGCCAAATGGCATAACCGAAACTCGTATGAACCGTACCTCATCACACAAGTCGTCTTGTGATCATCCCCCTCGGTAATCCTCACTTGTAAATAACCAAACCTCAAATCTAGCTTCGTGAAGATAGCGGCTCCACACAACTTGTCTATTAAATCTTGTACCAACGGTATTGGATATTTGTTCTTTATTGTCACCTTGTTCGGTGCACGATAATCCACACACATTCGAAGACTTTCATCTGCCTTTTTTGGAACGAACATGAGCACCATAAGGAGCTTTGGACGGTCGAATAAACCCGGCGCCTATTAACTCTTCCAAGCTGTCTTCTCGATTCCTCTAAATCCCTTGGAGACATTCGATAAGGAGGCTGCGACGGTCTTTGTCGCACCATGCATAAGTTCTATTACGTGGTCAATGGCCCTTCTCGGGAAAGCTTTTTCGATAACTCGAGAGGCATTACATTCGAGTATTCCTCCGACAACCTAGCAATGACATCCGGCACATGCTCCATTGGTCTCGAATCCTCCCCATTGCTACTATCAAAACCACTTCACCATCCTTATTCAAGGTCTTATTAATTGCGATGGTCGAAACGATGCTACGGCTAACCTTGTTGTTTTCGGCCATCGAATTTTTCTCACACAACACAAAGCTGGGGCATGTATCGTGGGAAATCAGAATTCCCTCCGGATACGACATCGATCCTATCTTGGTCTTCTTCAAGAAGTCTAGGCCAAGTATGACGTCGAAATCATCAAAAATCACCACCGACAAGTCTTGTTTGTCCTGCCATTTATCCGAGCACTATAGGCACTTTGTACGCGATTCTCCTAATCCGTTGTGCCTTGGCATTCATTGCCTCCATTGTTGTGTGGTTGTTGCTCACCCGCGAGACCTAAGCTGCGTCATCAACCTATCGGTAACAAAAGTGTTCGTAGTACCGGAATCCAACATGGCCATGATCTCTCGATCATTTACTGCGATTTTCACATACATCAATGTGTCTAGAGCACCTGACTTCCCTTGTCGTAAAGCATCTAAGCGCACCCAAGTCGGTCGTCGACAAGGCTGAATTCATCCATCGAATCCTCTTCCGCAATCGGACAATTCAACACACACATTGGGTTAACGTGTGTGACTATTTTCTCTTGCTCATTGTCATTGACCGAATGGCATTCAACTTCTTTCTTTTTGGACATTCTCGGGCATAATGAGATCCCTCACATATGAAACGACTTCGTATTCGACCTAGATTCTTTCGTTGATGCATCAACCTACTTACCCTTACCTTTATCATAGGCGGGCTTGAATCCACCCCCATCGAATTTCTTCCTTCATGGAAATTCGCTCTTATCCTTTGCCTTGGATTTCGAAGGGGTTGCTTGCAACGGACTCATCTTTTGCCCGATCTTGAAATCTACCAACCCATCCGCAACAGAGATTGCTAAAGACAAATCGGTCACCTTCGTCGCCTCGACTCTATTTATGCCCGAGGCGACAAGCACGACGGAAAGTTGAACAATTTATCCTCCTCGGACATGTTTTTGATATCTAAAATGAGAGAACCGAATTCCTTCACATATTCCCTCACCGATTTATCCTGCCTCAACCTTTTTAGATCTTCTCTCGCAAGCCATGAAGTGTTATTCGGTAGGAATTGTTCCTTCGACTCTTGCTTGAGACGCATCCAAGTATCAATCTTAGGTCGCCGGCATTCAAGTCTTCCTTGATTATGGTCCTCCACGACAGTTTTGCATCACCGTCAAATACATTACGGTGATGTTCACTCGTTCGTCGTCCCTAATCTTGGTCATTCCGAAGTACTTGTTCCATATCCCACGAAAGTTTTCCAATTCTTTGGAATTCCTTGCACCCCCGAATGACTTAGGATCCGGTACCTTCGGCTTAGACGTGCCTCCACCCGTAGGGATAGCCGCCATCGCCCTTTTCAATACCACGATCTCTTCCTCGAGAGCTTGCACTTTGCGACCCATCTCCGTCGCAAGATCCATCGACCGCCTAATGACCACTTCGCCACTTCCTCGGCGTGCTTAAGCCTTTCGTTCATGGAACCCTCTTCGTTTTCGACCATGGGACCTAAGACTTATTCAAGATGAGTGAGTCTTTCTCGTATAATCTCCATCCTAGACGACATTAGACCTCAAAATCCTAGCCAATAGAACGAACTTTCGCTCCGATACCACTTGTCACGGGGTCAAATTTTCGTCACAATTTCAACCCAGTGCGGCAACCTAGTCCCCTTAGACTTCGGCCTTTTTCCTCCCGATTCGCTCTCGTGTTTGGCCTATCGACTATGGTGTTTCACACACCCAAGAGGCTTTCCCCGAAATCCCGCAAATAATAGGCAACACACTACTGATAGACAAGAATAAATCAAAGTTTGCACACAATATTACGGAAAAACTCCTAACCTTTTATTAACCCGATAACAAAGGAATACACTTTGATTTCGGTGTCTCCGTGCAAAGCACATCCCCCTCTCCTTTTTATCACAAAGGATCATTGGAAGTTACATAGGAGCTGCTAACTAACTTATCCCTATGAATGCGGATAAATTGGTCGGAGACAAGTAATTGCCGATAACTCGCCCCTTTTAGAACTTCCTTTGGCTTGCCACCCCACGGACTCTTTAGGCACCGAGCCCTCTCTCTCGGTCTGCTATGTTCCCACGCAACTTGGACAGCCCTCTATCTAAGTCCGAATTCGTGCCGAACATGAACCCACTGTTCGCACGCACCCGTTATACATCGTTGTCGAATCTACCAAGGCCCATGCAAGTTCGCCAAGATCCCAAGCAATGTTATCCTTGGCGCCACCTGCGCCTAGGACCGTGACACCAACCATCATCAATTCATCATCAAATATATGTACGAACGATATTTGGATCGTCACATTTATTAATTAATTCATTCATTTGTTTTAAGGTTAGGATTATCACAAACAAAGTAATTAATAGTTTGATTTTTAATAATATATACTACTTTTGAAACATTCCAAAATAAAAAGGTATATATTTTTTGAGTGAGAGAAAGAGCAACAGATTAATAAGACAAAGTTGAATTATTTTCTTTACTTGTTAAATTAATATTTTTCCTCTTCTCAAAAAGTTCGGGTTCAAAACCTTTCTTTTTTCTTTGTAACAAAATATATATTTTTTCATTTTATTTTTCGTTACGTTAATTTAATATTGCCATTTTAGCATTCACAATCTTTTACCTCAATTATTAACCGTAATCTTTGATTTATCCATTAATTTTAATATCATTCATTCGTCACTAATCAATCTCCGCGTTTGGACCGTCCATTGAGTTTGCTCAATTATTTGTGCATATATCAAGAAAAAAAAAAGGAGCGAAAGGAGATAAAGAGGAGATGAAAAACATGAGGAAAAAAAAATTGCCAAGCACCGCCGCCGATAATGGAGATAGCCATTTCCACCCATCACCAAGATTCCCGGCATTAGGGATGGCAATGAGGCGGAGCGGGATGGGGATCGCCATCCCCATCCCCATCCCCACCCCGTCCCCTAAAAAAAAATCCATCTCCACCCCGTCCCTTGTTCGAGATGAAATTTTACTTTCCATTCGAGGTGAGGCGGGGCATGATCTCGTCAAATTACCGTTTTTAAAGGTAAAATGGTAGGGCGGGGCGCGGATCGCTATCCTCGTCCCCGTTCCGTCTCAAAAAAAAAAAAAAAAAAAACCCTCATTTCGGTCCCATATCTCGTTTGGGATAAAATTTCACGTTCTATTCCCATCCTAAATGAGGCGGGACGTCTTTGAGACGGGTTGGATTGCCATCCCCATCTAGCATCATCATTCATTAGAGCTTTTGCTGCCTTGGGGTTTTGGACAAAAAGACCTAAGAATTTTTGTTTGATTTTTTTGGGTTAAATTTGTGACGTGGTGGAGTTTTGTCACAAAAACAAAATGCCGAAGGCAACCAAGGATCCGTTAGGGTTATGAGCGTGCTAGGCCGTTGCAGCTTTTCAATCTGAAAGCCAATCATATGTGTTTGGTGATCAAAAAGCTTAGCATGGAGCTAACGTTGGCTCCCACTGCAAATTTCACTAACGCAAAAGCCCCGTATTTTTACTTATATATATATATATATAAACCCTATAAATAAAACCACATAATTCCATAATTAGTTTTTAACTACATATTATTCTATAAATAACAAAAATTCTCTACGAGATAGACTATTAATGATGTTTAATGACATAATTTTATATTATTAAAATATATAATAGTAATATTTTAAATGTGATTTGGAAAAAAAAGTTTATTAGGTAAGTGAAATTTTTTGTAATAATTAATTTATTTGGATACGATTTATGAGGTGTTGTAAAAAAACATTAAAAGAGAATTTAGGGAAAAAATATATATATATATATATATCTGAATCAAATTGTGTATCTAGTGGATATTCGATAAATAGAAAAGACCTTTCATTTAATTGAATAAAACAATATAAAAGGTAATTATAAGTATATCGAGTTAGACGTGGATGCATAAAAAAATTCCGTCTTGATCCGATCCATATATTGTCATGATGCCATCCCTACTCTCACCCTTGCTTTCAACATCTTGAGGAAAATATATATATATATATATATATATATATATATATATATATATATATAGTTTTTACATCTTACTATAATGGAGCTAGTGAAAAGATGCAGATAGACTGTAGATTCTCATAGAAAATTCTTTCAAATATACAGATACATGAAGCAAACTTGTTTCTGATTTTACAACTTTAATCAAACAAAATGTACACTTTCTGAACATGACATCATTCTTCGGGCCAGGCCTGACAAAATTATTTACCACCTGGAGCTAGCCAGTAGCAAAAGAAATACAATTGATCAAATGTGCCAATATGTATTCAGCATTTCAAGACGTTTAATCTGTGGCATCAAACTTATAAAAAGGATCGATCACCACAAGATTCTACACTTCTGATTCTTCTTGTAGGAGAGGGACCTTTTCATCAGAGGACTTGACACTCTCCTTCTGTTTTTCATCTTCTCTCATTTGACCCCACGATACTGTATAATAACCCACTCCAGAGATTACTGCTCCTATGACACTGCATGCACACATCAAATCAAGATTAATCGTCGGAGTCTATATAGTATAGGTTACAGTTAATTAGGAGAGAAATAGAGAGTGTTCTTCTTGTTTATTACCTTCCATAATGGAGACCATTTACGAAGAAGCCGACACCCAAAAAGGTAGCCCAAAAAATCCTAAATGGTTGAAACAAGGGCACATAAAAATGGCCCTTCAAGCTTGTGCACGTAATTTGAACACTGCTACGTACAACACTCCCATAGATTCCCTAGATACCATAGCATGGAAGGAAAATGTCGTAATCAATAATAAGTTAAGTGTGTGTGTGTATATATATGTGGCTAACCCAAGTTGGTGATCACTGTTCATTAATTACGTACCGTGATAACAATCAGAAGCAATTCCATATTAAGCTTTAATTTCCAAGCATTCAAGTCTCTCTCTACGATCAAAGAGAATATTGTACATTGAATAGTCCCAGCTAAGCTATAAAAAGGCGCTATTTTCATTACTTGGGGATAGTGTCTTATAGTACCCAACTGACCCAATAAAAGTCATGATAAAACAAAAAAAAAAAAAAACAAACAAAAAGGAAAATCAGGAATAATTTATTAAAAACTGAAAACCCGAAAAAGAAAAGAAAATTACTTATAAAATGGCTTATTCTAAAGATTTCTTAATTTCTACATACCTGGATAATGTTCCATAGCGAAAAACAGAAAAAAGACGCAGCAAGCAAGATGCAGCCAAGAACCCAGTTGTCCGGTGTTGAGTAGAAAACGAAAAGTTCCTTCTTGGAATGTTGCAGTTTATGGGAAGAAGATGAAGGTCGTATATATGGGCCCTTGTAAATGACCACCAAGATTGCGCCCATGATTGATGCCAAGGTGCCAATCACTTTGAATTGGAAACTTGAGCATCTCCATTTTAGCTTTGTCCTCCTGTCAGAAATCATTTGGTTTATACGCAACATTTAGACGATCAAACAAGATGATGATACTTGGGGGAGCGGACTAGGTCCAAAGCCCTTCAAAAATGGCTTCTTCTTGGTGTTTTTTTTTTTTTAGGAAAAAAATATCGCTATAGGTCTTGAAGGAGAGGACATATGGATGCCAGCCGAAATATAAGCTTAAATGGCAATTAAATATCCGAATGTTAACTTAAATAAATTGGGAATTTTTACGATATAAGTTTCTATTGCCGTATTATAACGCGATTTAAGGGGGAAGAAAAGATAGATTTTAATTTTAATGTGATAACTGGTCCGGTCTATCTCAAGGAAACCTTAAATTTTATGGAAGTAGCCCCTAAGTGATCTTATTTACTAGGAGGGAACACCTAAGCATCTGTATTATTTGAATTTTTCCTTTTCTTGCAAGTGATAACTAGAAGTTGCCACAAAAAATAATGAGTTATCTTAAATAACTTTCATTACTACCACTTCAAAACTTTGTTTCTTGATTAAATAAATGGATATCCAGGTTAAAGAAAAGGAAAAAGGGAATTTTCGAGGGAAAAACCTGAGTATAACGGACAGAATGAAGGAAAAAGAAGGGATCAAGAGGCCCATTGCACAAACGACTATTGGCGAACTGTAGCTTAGCCCCACAAACCCAAGATTCTGGGATAAAGATATCCTACAAAACACACACATACATGAGGCACATACATATACATGATCAGGATTTGGATTTGGCAAAGTTTAATTAGCGTATAAATAATAAAACAATACCAAACTCCAATGCAAGTATTTAGTTTGATCATGGCTTTGTAATCTTTTAAGGTCAGGTAGGTGACGTGTCATGCTGTTTATAACCATATGGCACAACTTTGATTAATTAATCACTATTTGTTTCAACGAATGGTCCAGTGCTAATTAAAACCAGTGCCTATTTGTTGAGAATTTTTTCAATTTTCACGGAAGTAGAAAAACGTTAACGTTTTTTATTGATTATGAAAATGACTTTTTTTATAAAAAAAAAAATTCAAAGGAAAACTATAAACTTAGATACACACTGTATTTCTAATTCTTTAAATTGAAAAAATTCCTAACTATTGGTTTTCAAATTCTCCGCTTGTGATAACTAATTAAAAAAAAAAAAGGGTTCTCCACTTAAAAAAAAAAAAAAAAAACCAAGATTCTTGTTTAATTCACTTAATTTTTTGTATTCTATTATTTATAATTTAACATATTACGTAGATTATACAATGGAAATAGTACTTTTTCCTGTCTCTATATCTTATTGGAGGGATCTTTCCACCCCTTCAAAGTGGATTGGAAGTATTGTTGGATCGAGGCCCTTAATTTCTTTTATTTATCTTAAAAAGAAAAACACTCAAAGACCCTAATTTTCTATTTTAAGAAATTTATAGTTTTAATTAAGTAAAAATGTTTTTCATAATCGATAAAATTGTTACTCAATATCTATCAAGACTTTGCAGCTTTTATTCCTAATATTTGTTTGGAATAGAGTTTATGTATATTTTATTCCTCCCTTTCCTAGCATTAACTTGTTAAACTTGTTAAAAAAAAAACGTTCATGTCCCTCTCGTCAAAAAGAGTTTGAAAACAAGCATCTTCCTTGTAAGAAAAAAAAGCATGTTTTCCTTCGAAAATATTTTTTACAGTAGAGAAGAAATGTTGTTTTTTTTTTAATAAACACAACTAAATGTCTAAATTCGACACGCTGATCTTTAATCATTTGTTGGGTGAAAGGTAGTGTCAAGAAGAAGAGGGCTACCGTGTTGGCAACTTAAGATCCAATTGGTTCATTCCTTTAAAAAAAAAAAAAAAAAAACATACGAAGCTAATTAAAGGATGGAAAAGAAAATAAAAACATGCATTGGCTCATATTAATGCGTGCGTGATCAGTTGTGGGCTTGTGACCATATAAATGTTAAAGGATCGAATGAGAAATAAGAGTACAAACCCTGTCAAACCCAGGAAGAAGAATCTCAAGAAAAGTGGGAACGTGAAGATTGGCTGTTCGGTTCTGCAATGAATAACAATATGGGGTGTGATCAGAAGCTATAGCTAGCTAGGGAAATATATACAGATAGAAAATATATATATATATATATATATAGACACACACGCATATACGGACCTTTCCCTGTGAAATAAGAAGGAATAAGGGAAGAGAATGAGAGTGCCAAGTGCGTTGGTATAGACAACAAATACAAAAGGGCTCATCCCTCCAGACATCACTGTTTTGGCCATAATAGTAAGTGCTATAGTGCAACCTTCCATTATCACCATCACTGTAAATGGTGCCATTTCCCTCAACTTGTGGTGACTCACTCCCATCTCTATCTCTCTCTCTCTCCCTCTCTAGCTAACAATATTCTTCTGCGTAAATAGAAGTTGATGCAATTAAGCGCTCTGTTTCTGATCACTCTCCTTCTCCCTTTCTCTTGTACTTGAACGTCAACCTGCTTCTCAAAGAGAAGGAAAAACAGGAACTGATGTAATAAAGAGTGACTCTCTATCTCTCTTTCTTATTTATGATGCGACTGTGACAACAAGCTCTACTTATGCTCGGCGAGAGAGAGAGTGTGTGATCAAAGAGGGTAGCCCTTCACAACTTGTTGGAGCTACTTGCTAGAGAAAAAGCTACTCGTTCGTGTCTCGAACTCTACGCAAAGGGAGGGAAAGTGATGTGGCATTCATATTTTTTTCGAAATTGTTGTGTTTTAAGAGAAAAATCTCTAGACTTCAGCACTTGTTTCCCTTTAATTCGCTCCTTAGTCTATTGATTTTTATGTCATCATGTTTAAGTTAATATTTTCCGCTAATCCATGTGACTTATTAGTGGCCAAAACTCAGTTTATAGTTGATTCTCTCTTTGTGGTCGACATTGCCAATGGCCCTACCCAAAAAGAGTATTATAACCCCATTGGTCCCCACCCACCGAGACTAAATGAACCAGGACCCAGAACCTAAATGATTAGTTTTTTTTATATAGATGGAGAGACCTAGTGACACCCAACTCTTGGTTGAGAATAAATTGAAGGGATAAAAGAATGAGCTTTGGCTGGTATCATATTGGTCAAGAATTAGTTAAGTCTGGTGCAAAGTTACAGGCTTTCTATACTTTTAGAGTCACCATCAGACTTGTTTCACCCAAGATAAATTCTTAATAAGCAGCTTCAGTCATTAGTAGAATCTTGAAGAAGTGGACTAGGCACTGCTTTTTGTCTTTTTGTTATGCAACTAGCTAGATGTCGTATTGTCAAAATACAGGACCGACCAGAAATAAGTTAAAAAGAACTATTCCTGCTCCTGCAAGCTGAATCGGTGGATTAGTTGCCTTGTTATCCACCATCAAAGCCGGTATCTAGTGGTATTTGACAGACTTAACCCAAAACATCACAGTGGGACAAACTGGGGCTCGAAAAATGCCAAGCATAATCTGACATTGATGGTAATATGCTGGTATCTAGATGTCGTATTAGTTGCCTTCAATGTTTTTACCATCTCATACTCTCCGTGCTAACAGTGGGAAATTAGCATGCCACCTTTTCCAATATTCCAAAATCTATTAAAAAAAAAAACTAAATGTTCCCTTATTTGTAATTGCATTTCTTCAGTTGCTAATATGTTGGTTGAACGTCCATCTTCATGTACTCAGGCAACGTTGCTCATATATGCATCTTTTTCTTTTCTTTTTTTTTCCTTTTCTGTTACAATGATATACATTGCTTCCATGCATTTATGGAGTAAGAATTAAGAAGGCACAAGAGTTGACAAATTGGAGATGTGATCGATTAGACTACCAGAGACGTGCTTCTTATCTTCATTTCCCTTCTTATTTTCATGCTATAAAAGCACGGAGAAAGAACAAGGGAGCTGAAACATTCTAATCGCCGACCATGACATTTTTAGGCTCATGGCATGCCCAAAAAGACCAAATTTATATGTATTTGCGACGTCAAATGCTTTAACAAACAAATTTTCTCTGCGTCATCCCTTTTAGTTGACTCTAAAGCAAGCGCAAAATGAGCCTTCAAACATGAAAAAATTCAACACCTGATTATAAAATTTAAAATCAGAATGTTCTTAACATTTTAATACGGATTTGTGTCAGGTTCAGGTCATGCTCATATTCATCTCTTCAAATTAGCATTCCTTTTCTAGACACTGAGGTCAAAGGAAATGTGAAAGGAAAAAAAAAAAGGTCTACACATTCTGCCATTCCATTCCAACCCAGATCAACCTGTGTATCACGCGTGCAAATTCTGCCTTCATGATATCAAATATATTTGATTATACTGGGGCTGATGACAGGCTCTCATGCATATCAGGCAGAGAACAATACGTAATTAAATAATTAACAATCAAATGAAATGTGGAAATTTTCATCAGGAAGGCTTTGTTTCCCTTTTCAGGAAGAGAGCCTACCCTGAGGCTAATTGTTGGGTTCTGACTCTATTCTCCTCAACATTAAATCATACCACTGAAGGGGAGGCTGACCTTACTAAAGCCCATAAGCTAAGAGTCTAAATGCATTGGTCATCCCACATGCTGATATCTTTCATCGTACGTGCCTTCCATCTCTACATTAACAGAAACCAATATGTTTATGCACGTATAGTATTATTTTCTTCGGACTTATTCCTCCTGTTTTAGACAGATAAGAAAGAGCATATTCAAAATATGGAGATGTTATCATATGCAAAATCAAACGCAACTTTCACATAATGACTCTATACAACTCATTATAAAAAGAAAGAAATAAAGAAAAATGCTAGAAAATAATACCGACACATTGACCACGAAAAGTATGGAAATCATTCTTAGCCAAAAATATTAGTAAATAACTCCAATGGTTCAAAAGGATAAGAGCCAGGGATTGAAGTTGCCTCTTCAAAGACAGATGCGTCAAATAACATTAGACTTTTGTTTTTGAAAACTATTTCACTTGGCCCATTCAACAAGAGATTAAAAGGAAAAATGAATTCCTTGTATTTGAATGGAAGTTAAATCAGGGGATAAACCAAGTGCTTCTCCTTAAGACAGCTAGGTTCGAATCATATAAGGGATATTTTTGGCTGGTCCAACAGAATTAACTCCAATCCAATCTCAAACCCTACTTCATCTGAAGCAACATGATGCTACTACAATGGTGCATGAGATATGGTACAATGTTGATCATATATTGATATATTCAGAATGTCATGATGTACATTTTGAGTCAACCAACTTTCAATTAGCTAAAAGTATGACTGATGCACAGGTAATTACTTCAAACCAACACAGTTGAATAAGAAATTGAAAGGCAATGGAGGATAAAACAAACCAGGTAATGAAGTCCTGAACCCCTCAATTTTCAACATAATAGAAGGGCAGCTTTTAACATGGGTGCCATGCATGTGCACGCACACATGCAGGCTTGTCTGTAGATCACATGTGGTGAGTGCGCACATGTGTTTTATCTGTGCATTCGTATATGGGTATGATTTGTAGGTAAAGGAAATTGAAATTACCAGTTTCATTTGGCAAAAGAGACCTTTTCTTTGGTTTGCTGTATAAAACTTCTATGTTTCTTCAGCATGGCTTTTCAGGAGAGGGAAGTTTTGGCTGCCAGATTCAATGCTCCTTACCCCATCATCCACTCCCACCTTCTCTTCTTTGGCCTTTCCCCACATCACCAAATAAAACCCAATGACGATCACAGTTGCTCCGACCAAACTAAATATTTCAAACAGGATGGTAAATGATGTGTCAGTGTCCTCTCTATATTATAAAGAGATGAAAATATAACAAGAGAACCAACTTAACAGTACGATAAAATATCAGAACCTATCACTGCCTTCAAACAAAAAATGGAAAAAGAAAATTTAGTTATACCTTCCAAGATACAAAGTATCCCTTAAGAAGATAATACTAAAAGCAGCTGCAATGACAATCCCCAAGGGCTTGAACATTGCAACAAAAACAGGCCCAGTCTTATGCAGGCACCATGTAGAAACGCCAACTTGGAATGCAGAGCCGAAAACTCCCTGCATTACAAATTATTAAAGTTTTAAGTCATTATTTTCAAGTTAAAGAAAAATGTATAGAACATTTAGAGAAGCCAAGTGGCAAGGAGAACCTAAATTGCTTACACCGGTCCATAATATTAAAGCTTGCATTGGTAGGTGCAAGTGAGATTAAGCCTGCAGATATAGATCATATTATGCCTTTATGTACATAACATACATGAGATTTTTTTGCTACATACCGAATAAAGTACAGCAACCAATCTTATAGTGGGTTTTAAACTCCAAGCACCAGGGTCCCTCTCCATAACCAAACAAGCTATTGTAGACAGAATGGTCACAAAGAAGGTGTAAAAAAAGACTATGATAAGCTCTGCTGGATATTTCTTAAGGATCAATGCCTGAAATGTGAAGAACACCAGTTAGAAATTCTTCTCTTTCTGTATCTTGCTGTCACTGGTTTTCATTTTCCTTTGAGAGTTTTGATAAATATCACCTGTATAATCAGCCATGCAGAAGCTGCAACACAATCAACTGCAAGGAGCAGTCCTCCAATAATCCAATTTGACTGTTGCGAGAGAAGCTGATGATGCAAGTTTGAAGGAGAGGGTGCTATCAGAAGTGAGGGACCCTTATAGTAACTCACAATGAAAGCCCCAGCAATCGATACTATGGTTCCCATGGATTTAGCCAAGGTGCTGGAGCTTCTCCAGTCAAGTTTCTCTAACCTGAAACAACCAGTCAAATTGATTTATTCCCATGTTTATGCGTAATTTATTTCAATCCCATTTTCCAGTAGCGTCTCCAGTCTGCTACTATTTTGCTACCAATCTTAATGCAGTGTTCAGCTCTGTTAGTGAACAGGACTTTTATTTCTTTTCCTTGTCCTTTTAGAAATAGAAATTCAGGACAGAAAGGAAACAAAACAAAAGTAAAATAAAAAAATCTGATTCCAGTGAAGAGGAAGAGCAGTGGAGAGTAAAATGACAACAGAAAAGCTCCAACCTAGTGGTTCTTTGCTAACATAAAAGGGAAATTGAATGTAGCAGGACTGATTTCTGTCCAATTTTATTGAATTTCATTCTTAGGGAATTTTTCATGAGTGAAAGATGGAACAGAAATTGTAAAAAGGAAATCCCAACTCAATTGGCAAATCCTTTGCCAGCATAAGAAAGCCACTCAACTTGTAGAAGCACTAGTTCATCTACAAAGGGCTTGCCTCGATTTAGGAGAAAGACCATAGAAAACAATGATTTTGCAAAAACCAATCAAAATCTTCAAAGAAACTCAGGGCATGATCTCATGCACAAAATGAAGTAAACTAAGTTAATCTCTCTTCTGAATCACTCAGTAAAGTAAGATCCATAATAACCTGCAGGCTTCCTCCAAGACAAGATCTGTGTACCCTTTAATACTAGCTACCAACTCAATCATTAGTAAGTAGGTTGTAAGTTCCAACGGTGTCTAAGAAAAAATCCAATGCCACTCCAACTTTCTTGAAATGAAAAATCAGAAAGAATCTCTACCCATCCAATATGAATAGGATCTGAGGGAAAATGATAAGCATCTGCCTGGAAAGGGCCCCTCAGATGCTATCTCCTAATGTAATACAACTCAAAAGGCTAGAACTTCTATTATTGTGCCGGTAATATAAAACAACAGCTTATGAAAATTTAACAATTTATTAGCAATTGAATGTCATTAAAAAAAAAAAAAAACCTTCGGATAAAAGACCAGGGAACCCCTCCCTCCAACAGTAGGCACGTCCATTCACTCCTTGGAATCCAATCCATCCAAGGCACAATAAATCTCAAAGCCAGAATATCCAATCGATTTTATCTTCTGCTGACATATAATCTCTTCATTTAATGTAAGTTAGACGGGAATATGTGTGACATGCATTTGAAATACTAATATTCAAATGTACTAGGATATAAAATGATTGAAGATGAACAATTGAATTAGTAAATTTTACAGATTTTCTTCTCATATGTAATGCATACATAAGTGGCACCAAGCCAAGATCCTGGCACTTTTTATGGTAAAATTCTTATTGTTTGGAAACTTAGCCCAAGATCACCTTTCCTTTCCTTATTCTAAGAGCTCAGAGAAAGAGGGTGTTGCAGAACTAGCTCAGCATGCATGGAACTAAATGAAAGAAACTGTGTCGTGTAGAACCACCAGCAAGAAATCAAGAAAACTAATTATGAGAAACGGCCCAGGTTATGTTAACTGAAAAGCTGCGCATGATAAATAGTACATAATAAATACTAATAATCTTAAATATTTCCCATTACTATGTAAACTGAAAAGGTCTGCATGATACTCCTTGGTGCAGTGGTGATGACTTAAAAAATCCTTGTTCCAACTTCCAGGCCATACAACATGGCTATTTCCAATTAGCATTACAGGTTTGTCAATAGCTCTCTGGAGACACATTCTCCAAAAAGTTCTCTAATTGATCAAAATATATATTCTTTCCCCAGCATTGTGTTTAAGGCTCAAAACAGAATACTGATTACTCCAATATAATCTGATCAATCTTCTTGGTAGTTTTCCATATAACTGTGAAAGTCAAATTTGGGCTGCTATAAGTTTCAACTATTCAAAAGTTGGATATCTGTGGATGCTGCATGCCCCCATAATCTGATAACTATTTTTTGTTTTCTAGTAGCCATAAACAACCAGAAAAGAAATTCAACAGTATCAACCAAGTTATCACCTGAAATGCTTAACATCCAATCTGGTGCGATATCCTAGAGTCTATTTTCTTGCTAATCAAACACAGCATCAACATGCATAGACCTGAATTTTTTCCATCTGAATTAAATATTTAAATGCCATTTGTTTCATGAAGTACCAAAAAATATCATCCTCATCACAGAAAAGACAAGAAATATGGACGTAAGTGCTACTTAAAAAGTCGATCACAATTCCCAGCAATCAATTCAGTGAGTAACAAAATCGAGAGGAGAGAATAACCTGCAGGCAACAGCAAGTATGAAAGTAAGACCAGGAATAAGGTTGAGCATGGCTGTGCCAAGTGTAGCAGAACTCAAGTTAATCCCAGCATACCCAAATATCTGTGCCAACCAACTGAACAAACATAGCAAATTACCCCAATCAAACCCTATAAAGCAACCAAGATTCATTCAAACAAAACAAACCCAGAAAATAAATTGAAGTCGCATACCCAAATAGACCAAGCAAGAAGAATCCACAGACAATAGGGATGGTGAGTGGAGGCCTCTCTGATCTGACAGATTAAGGAATTTGGAACCCAAAAAATGAGAAACAAATTTTATTTAATAATAGTGCATGGCATGCAATGAAAAGAAGAGTACCTGTGAAGGAAGAAAGAAGAAGGGAGAAGAATGAGGGAAGCAAGGGCGTTGGAGTAAAGGACAAAGATGAAATTGGTCATGCCATTTGACATGGCTGCTTTGCCTAATATCATTAGCCCAACTTGTGCACACTCTGCCATTACCATCCCCACAAATGGAGCTGCTGCTTTCAAACCCATTTCCGCTCGCTCTCCCTCCACTCCCACTTCACCAACGCACAAAGCAGAGCAGACAGAACTTCCTGCTTCCCTGCGTCCCTGCAGTGAAGTGCTACGAAGCACAACCAAACGTTGAAATTTCAGACGGACTCTTGCGTGCTTATGGTTCCTTCACCACCCAACCCAAGTTGAAACTTGGGTGGAAAAGTTTGGATTCCCAGTGGCCCAGCCCAATATCAGGGACTCTTATTGGGCTGTTGGCTATCAATCACTAGTTTCTTAGGGAAATGGTGTGCTCGAGTTAGTCGATCTCTCTTTTTATACAACTCCGTACGACCTTGGGTCGTGTAATTAAACACTTCTAACCAAAGTGAACTAAAGTACTTAGGATCCAACGTTGTGCCAACTCCTTTTGGTTTCGTTTTTCTCATATACCCTCCAATCATAAATTGATCACATGAGGATTTACTCATAATAGCACTCATTAATTTATTATAATAAAAAAAAAACCTACTTTATAAATATTTTGAAAGGAAGTGTTTCGTTTCAATGTGAGATAGATTTTTTTTTTTTCATTTCTTTCGATAAGACTATACCAACAAAAAAAAAATGATGTTGAAACTTACTTTTAACTATGTTTGTGACTTGTGAAACAACGAAAAAATTTTCCATTATGAATGGACTAAGAGTGAAAAATATTCAAAGGAATAGAATTTATAAGGATAAGTGTATGATTATATGTGTTTATGATTAATTAAGTAGAATTAATTATGATTAGATGAAAAAAATTGCGTGGTTTACCTATAGTGAGACATTCAGCTAAAACCCTAAATGGATTGAAAATGATCATTGTTTTCTTTATTGTAACCAGATTTTAAATTCATGAGATTTGGTCATTTTTAAACTTTCATCCATGCATCTCTTATTAATAGTTAATCGATGTACATAATTTAGCAGGAATTTTAACTTGATTTGAGTATTAAATTTGTTCAGTATCATACATGCATCGTATAGTGGTCATAAAAAAAATGTATGATGTTGATATATATATATATATATATATATTAACTCAAGACTCAATTGCATTATTCATAGATATAGTTGGAAATCGATCTTCAAGAGTTAAAATACGTCGTTTTGAGCTTTCTTTGACATGAAAAGATGATGCTTTTCCAAAAAGTTCAAGTATTTTTATGAAATTTTATTTTACTTTGGTCCTTAGAGTTTGTGACTTATATGAAATGACCTCTGAACTTAATTTGGGTTAAATTTAAGAATCTAAAGATAAAGGAAGCTGGAGAGAGAAGAGAGGAGAGATAAAGGAAAGAAAAGAAATCTACGACGAGTTACAATTTGGGGATGTAAATTGATAATATTGAGATTGATGTGTTTATCTTCACAATAAAAGTTGATTGATGATAATTTAAAAACATCAAATGATTGAAGAAAGAAGATCATCTTCTGAAAAAAAAAAAAAAAAAAAATTAATTTGATTTGATCATTTCAATATTTTAGAGTGGTTTTGAGTATATTTTGAGGGTTAAAATGACATTTGAATATTTTGGAGAGATTCTAAGTTGTTTTTTAGAATTAAAAAAAATGGTGTAGAAAATGGCTGTGAGGTGCCAAAACAATAGAACTTTTGAGAGTCTGGCAATAAATTTTCAAATTCTACCAACTTTTCGATCACTGAAAAATTGAAAAAAAGGAGGTAATAGGACGATGCTTCACCTCCTTTTTTTCTTTTTGTTTTTTAATTATTGGTCTGCACCTTTCCACACCAAGCGTGCAGACCTAGCGCTCGCCCAAGTCAATTTTCCTTTTTTATACATCTACTTTTTCGTTTCTTTTGTTTTTTACGAAAAAAATTATAATACAAAAGAATAATTAATAATATGTATAATAATTACTCTTTGAGTTCATTTTGAAGAGAAAAATAGACATTAAAAAATAAAAAAATTACATCCATAACCATAAAAAATGATAAAAAAAATTTTACATCCGTTCAAATTTTTTTATTTACTCCCGTGTTTCTCTCTTTTTTTCTTTTTGCTTTTTTAATTATTGGTCTGCACCTTTCCACCCCAAGCGTGCAGACCTAGCGCTCGCCCAAATCAATTTTCCTTTTTTATACATCTACTTGTTCGTTTCTTTTGTTTTTTATGAAAAATTTTATAATACACAAAGAGTAATTAATAGTATGTACAATAATTATTATTTGAGTTTATTTTAAAGAGAGAAATAGACATAAAAAAATAAAAAAATTACATCCATAACCATAAAAAATGATAAAAAGATTTTCACGTCCGTTCAAATTTTTTTTATTTTCTCTCTCGTGTTTCTCTTTTTTTTTTCTATGTCTATCTCTCTTCTCAAAGTGGGTCTAAGAAATAACTACTATATATGTCACTAGTTAATCCTTATGGATTATAAAATTTCTCGTTTTCTATTTTTTTTATTTTCTCAATATCAATTTTTAGTAATAATTAATAGTGATTTTTTAATTTTTCATAAACCATCACAAAAAAATTATTATTATTTTCCATAATTTTATTTTTTATTTAATTTTTTATAGAAAATAGTATAGAAAAAAAATCGTTATTGTAGAATATAATGACTCTTCATGCCGCTTACAAAAAATGATGATTAATAACCAGTTTTTTTTTTAACAATAGTATAAGTTTGATGATTAATCAATATAAGACGAATAGTTTTCAAATATCTAATTACAAAATACTGAAACAGAATTGATATAACACCAGTTTTTTCTTTAGAAAAAAAAAAATCAACATTAACTGTACATTAACCTTAAAAAAAACCTAAATAACAAGAATTAATGGTTGATAATTTAACGTCTTTTAATTTATATTGTTTTTAACTAATTATGTCTCGCTTAGAAAATGATCATGGTTGTTTAGCATATATAAAAAATGTGATTCCTTACTCTTTTTAAGTAGTTATTAGCAAAAAAATTTATTATTTTGGAGTAGCAATATTGACACATTTTTCAGTTCATCACTTGATATTTTTATTTTTCTATGTAAATTTATATTAAATTTGAAATAATAAAAATCAATTATCAGAATTATCTTGATGGGAAATTTTAAAAAAAAACTATCAAGTAGAAAAAAATGAGGATTTTTTAATTTATAATTATGGACTCATTTATTGAAATTAAGCACCCTTCCAATATAGATTGCTCAAATTCCCTTTCATTATCGATTCTCGCCTTCTTCTAATTATTTATTCTTTCAATTGGATTTTTAGGCGACGTAAATAAATGATTACATGTTTTTTTGTTTTTTTTTTTGTTTTCATTGATCAAAAAGTTAATTATAGTTTTGGTTTGCCAACTTGTCTTCTTCATCTTATTCTTCTTCCTAATAAAGTGTGTGTTTTTTAATCTTTTGAGTAGAGCAAGTTGTAATTTTTGTTTTAATCAAGTATTTTTGTTAACTCCCATTAACTGCACATGTGACATCGACATATAGGCCCCATTGTTAGTTTTTTTTTTTTTTGTACAAACTTGTCATTTTTTTTTAATTTGAATGTGTAAATTTTAATCTTTTTTATTTGAATGTATCAACTTATAATTTTTTGTATTTAAATGACTTTGTTAACTCTAAGTTGATGTGTTGGTTAACTACACATGTGAAACCATCATATGGACCCATTGTTAAGACATATGACAACAAGAAAAAAAAAGTAAAAAGTAAAGATCCATTCCCATTCTTAGATAGTAACAATAAAGACAAACAAATTACATAATAGAAACAAAAATATTTATGACCTTTACATAAAAATATTTTTTTAAGACGAACAAATTACTTAAATATATTTAAATACAAGAAAAGGATTGAAAACTAAAACTAAAAACTTGGTTGTGTTTGTTCATCAAGATAACGATTCATTCTCATTCTTGTAGCAATATTTTGTTTGAAGATGACGATATAAAATTGAATTTTAACTTACGGTGAAGATTTTTGTTTAATTTTGTATATTTATTAATTGATTCATTCTCATTTTTGTAGTAGTATTTTGTTTTGATACAAACAATTTTTTAAATAAGAAATATTTTTGTAGTAGTAGTAGTATTATATATATATAAATATATGATAATGGAGCCTACGTGGGTGTCACATGTATAGTTAGTGAATACATCAACTTTGAGCTAGTGGAATAACTTAAATAGAAAAAATTGCAAGTTGGTAACTTAAATAGTAAAGACCAAAGTTTACACACTCAAATAAAAAAATAATAATAAGTTTGTATATTGTTTTTATATTGGGGCTCATATGTGGGTGTCATATGTGCGATTAATGACCATGTCAATATAAAATTAACAAGAGTTAATAAAAATATTTATTAAAAAAAATTAACTTGGTTTGTTCAAATAACAAAGATTAAAAAGCACAAACTTTATTAAAAAAATATTGACAGAGTTAGTAAATAAAAAATTAATTAACTCCTTAACAAATTATCCTTTTAACCATTTGCAACTTACAACCTCGTAATAAAGGAAACATGTTGTATTTGCAAAATAGTCATATGCTATTAAACCTTATGATTTGTTTTTGTATAGTTCATCTCTTTTGCTAATAGCAATCAAGTGCTTCACTTTACGGTTCTACTCTTGCCGGATCTTTTTTATTTGATATTTCTAATTTTTTTTATTTTTTATTGGTTGAGGTTTTACCTCTATAATCTATTATATATGTGTGTGTTGTTATTGTAGGTGTCTACTATCCAACCATGTTTGGATCGGTTTGAGTTATTATATTATTGCATCATTTATTTTATTAATAATAAAGAAGTCTTTTTATTAATTCTTATATCTTATATTTGTTTATTGAATAGAATTAGATAGAAGTCCATATGATATGCATTTGCATTAGTGATTGATCGAAAGATGTGAGACAAACACCAATGCACATAAATGATTTCATTAAATGTCCGAAGTCGTAGCATTATCAAGAATGAACATTGACTAGATATGGTTAGACTTGTTCATGCTATGCTTATACTATATGATAGCGAGTAGGAGATCTCACATCTATTAACATGATGATGCCAAAGCAAACACTTAGGTGATTCTTGTTAAAGAACATATCACTAGACTTGACTCACTATGAGAACCCATTTAGTTTTGTCTATGAGAATCTCATACGAGATAGGTATAACCTAGGTCCTTAGACTTAAAGTCATCATGACTATCTCATTGAAGGATTTATATACTTTGACACTCGTTTCAATAGACCTAAGAAAGGATTGTATGTAGGCAATTTGTTGGGTGCACTAGAAATCTAATAGAGGTACGTAGATGGCTAAGACAGGATATGTCATTCCTTATATGCTAAAGGAGTTATCGCATCGCACTTCGATGAGTATCCGCTCAAGAAATCTGTGGCTACCATAGGAGAACTCCAACAGAGTATAGTTGGTTTAC